AAAAAAAAAAAAAAAAAAAAAAAATGGATGCTCGTAGGAGTAGGACAATCTTCAACACTTGTTCGTCGTTGTTTCACAACTAAGCTGTACGTTGGATTTACCTGGTCAATCTTCACTTCGAGCTAGGTGCGACTGGATTCGAGAGAACCTTAGATTTTCATCGAGCGTGCAGAAATGAGATGAGAAAGTGAGAAGTAATTATTTATTGGGGGGCATTTTTGTAAGTTGCGGCTATTTGATGGACAATGGGATATAGTATCAGCAAGTAGGCGTGGGATACGGAGTATGACTTTTCCTTATTACAATATCGAGCCGACTTATTTTAAAGGGCTTCACATGCTCTAACCAAACAACTTAAACGTGTGGAAATAGTAGCAATAGATATAAAATCAAGTCCAATAAAGGCAACCGAATTGACCCGTAATTTATTAGTTAAATGTGGATAACAATGAAAGAATTGTTGGAGTATCACTTGTGAGTTGTCCTACATTGATTTTATAGGGAAAATGCGCCTAGTATATAAGCCAAGTGGGTTACTCCTTCTATCACCAATTGATTTTGGGATGGAACCTCAGTATGGTGCACCTAAGCTCACCCTCTTATGATACGCTTAATCTGCGTGGAACCGCGCTCTCTTGCCCCGATTCTCTAATCTTACAAGAATATGTACAAAGATTGAAAAATTTGATAAATGGTCAATAAAGTAAAAAAATGACTCGTAAAGAGAACACGATAGAAGCTACTCCAACTCTTTCAAATGGACAACACAATAAATAATCATACTATCATCATTACATTACGTTAAATATATTCATCTGCCCACGGTGGGCAGTGTCCACTAGTTTGTTTTATATGAAAAACATATTTTGAGAATACGTTTTTCAATTAAATTTAATTAAAAAACGTATTCTCAAAATACGTTTTTCATATAAAACAAACTAGTGGGCACTGCCTACCGTGATCAGGTGAGCGGGTGTACATTACGTTAATGTGTGTTATTAACTTTCCCAAAGGCATCATTATCCACAATTAATTTCACCCAAGACGCTGCGTTTTGAACAAATTGCTCACCGTCTTGTCTTCACAGAATCACAGAGCTTATATAGACTAGAGCACTGCTTCATCTTCCTCTCTGCTTACATTGTACGCACTTGGCTGTTAAAAGAGAAACCAAGGCATTGAAAGCCAACTACAGAAGAGGAAATGTCAACTACAGAAGAGGGTCAAGTGATCGGCTGCCACTCGGTCGATCAGTGGAAGGAGCTCTTTCTGAAGGCTGTGGAATCTCATAAACTGGTATTCCCTTTTTCTTTTCTCTTTTTTTTTTTTTTTCTATTTTTCCGTTAATTTTTAACCTGTAATTTGTCGCTGTTTTAAGAACGAGTTTTCCTCTGTTGATTGTCGGTTCATCTTCGTCTTGTTTCGATCAACACTTCACCTTTTTTTTTAGGGCATGATTTGTACTTTCTCTGGTTATTTCTTTTCGACATGAATTGAGAAAAGGTAAAGAAATTTGTTATGAACTCTTCTGACAAATTGAGGATCTCGGTGTAATATAGGTTTTACAACTTCCTTTGAACTATGAATTGTTCTTATTCTTTTGGTATTACAAACATCCCGAGAAAAGGATTGGTATGCTATGGCTTTTACTGCAGAGTCTATGAAATTATTTCGGAATTAAAAGGTGAGGGAGATCGGCATTCGACGAAAAAAATTGTCGAGATATGCTGATTTTACATGTGACCCGTTTGATTTTCTGTGAAGATGGTCATGCTAAAGTCTGATAATTTTTCTCTGGAAATGTTCTTTGAGTCAGGGCATCGTATCGCTTGGCCTCTCACTTTGGACACAAACCTGTCTTTTTCCATCTTTTCATTCAAGTCTTGTAGTGTGTGGCGTTTACTAAAAAGCAAAGTAACTTCTTCTTCTTCAGGTGGTGGTGGATTTCACAGCTTCCTGGTGCGGACCGTGCCGTTTTATTGCTCCAGTTCTGGCTGAGATTGCCAAGAAAACTACCCATGTTTTGTTCCTGAAGGTGGATGTTGACGAACTTAAGGTATATATGCATATCTGCTAGCTTAGTTTCACAAATTGTACCTTTCTAATACAATGAAATCGCGAACATACCAATGAAAATGAAGGTCCATGCTATATTGTGAATAGAACCCATGATTGTTTCTTACTAACTAGGCTAAGCTAGCTGAGGGCTACTTTTATAACTTAGCTCTTCATCGATCGAATACGTTTGGAGATTGTCTGTCATTTTCTGTTATCAGATTGGTGTTAGAAACCATGCTGCTTAAACTCAAAACATTGTACTTTCTGTTTTTTTCCTCGCCTTTTTTCCTTCCTCTTTTAGACGGTTGCTGAGGAATACAATGTCGAGGCAATGCCGACTTTCGTGTTTCTGAAAGATGGGAAGGAAGTGCATAGGATTGTCGGTGCCAAGAAGGAAGAGTTGGTTGCCAAAATAGCGGAACATAGTGGTGGTGCCACTGTTGCAGCAGCCTGAGGCTTCACCTTAAGCTCTTTTTATTAATCCGTTTTGTGTTGTTGTGCTCGTGCAATTTCTAATAATCACCGACTTTATGGCCTTGTTATCTGCGTCGTGGATACTTGATGTAATAATGGAGCATTATGGAGTTCTCGTTCGTTGTGATTTATTGTGATAAATAGTGTCCTGGTATTATATATATCTTTGTGTGTCATTGGTTTTACTTGTGTTTGTTTGCAGGATGAGCTCGTTTGCAGAACTTGAATATATGATAAATTGAGATGGATAGTTTTGATGTATAAACCTATTATTAATGTTTACCTAATCTGGTCGAGAACAGGATTTGAATGTGCCAGTTGAACTAAAGGATGTAAATATGTCATAGAAATCTATAGTTAATGAACAAAATGAAACTCCAATTCCTCCATTTTTCATTTTTTTCCTCACTACAATTTTTCTTTCTTACTGTGAAGTTTTATCTTAGTATATAACCCTAATTATGCCCTTTTTTTTTAACGGGTTAAGCAATTTTATTCTCCATTCACATATTGGCCAAATTCTCCCCTATATATTAATACAGAACGCGTTGAGTTTACGTGGTTGCTTCTGGTGCTTCGAAATCCTATGTGGCAAAATTACATGCTTCGTTATTAGGCTTGGGTAAATTTTAATTTAATTCCAAACCAAAAATAAATAGGTTCGGATTACCATAAATATGTTGATTATTTATGATCATGTTACATGTATTAATTGCATTTTAATATAATTCCTTATTATAACTATTGAATTGTACTCCCTCCTATTTTTTTTAAATGTCATTCTAACTTTATCAAGTATTTGCTAAATAAATGTCGTTTTGGATCTTTTGTACATATTTTTCCATTATTACCCTCATTTAGCTAATAAATACATCACGTCTTTTCATAATCACTCTTCATCTTTTTCTCAAAACATTCATCTCTATCTTCATTAAATAAGGTTATTATTGACAAAAAAATATTCTTAATAGATGTGCAACATCCCAAAACGACATCTATTTAAAATAGGAGGTAGTATATATATTTTAAAAGTTAATAACTTTTGTATTTTTTATCAGTTTTACATATGTAATATATCAAATTAATCTTCTTTTGATGAGTTTCGATTTAACATCCATATTGTATGTATAAAAAAAATAATTTATATTTATCTTTATAACAATAATAAAATTATTTTTAATATTAATTAGAAAAATAAATAATTTTATTCAACTAATATATTTATATTTCAAGTAGTTATATGATATAAGTTATAAAACTAATATAATATAATACATGTAAGTCATAACTAACACATATCATTCTAAAATATATAGTAATATATTTTTTTTGGTAAAAAATAAACTAAATTTAATATAGTTTTCTCATTAATTTTAAAATTTAAGAATAATTTTTTAACAAGCACCCGTGTAATACACGGGTGTTGTACTAGTAATGTAGTATGTACATATAAATAAGTGGTAAGGTTAGTAAATAGTCTTCTATAGTTGTTTTAAGGGAAGGTTAAAATCCCCCTATATATAATTTTAGAATGTGTTGAGCTTAATTGGCAGACTCGTATGCTACAAAATCCTAGGTTTTCAAAATTCCATGCTTTGTTATTTGGCTTGGATAAATTTTAATTTAATTCTAATCCAAAACTAATTAGGTTCGGATTACCATAAATATGTTGATTTATTTATAATCATTTTAGATATATTAATTGTATTTTAATATCATTTCCTATTATAACTATTGAATTGTAAATGTATTTTAAAAGTTGATAACTTTTGTATTTTTTATCGGTTTTACATATATAATGTATCAAATTAACCATTTCTTGATTAGCTTTGATTTGATATCCATATTGTATATATAAAATAAATAAATTATATTTATCTTTACAACAATAAAAAAAAATATTTATTAAAATTAATTAAATAATAAAATTATTTCTCAATTAATATATTCATGTTTAATGTAGTTATATGTTATAAGTTAGAAATTTATTATAATATAACACATGTAAGTCGCACAAGTAACAAATGTCATACTAAAATATAATATATATATATATATATTTAAATTGTCAACTATTTTTTTATTAATTTTAAATTTTAAGAAAAAAAAAAAAATTAACAAGCACCCATGTAATACACGGGCGGCGTTGTACTAGTTAATGCATTATTATGCAATATGCTCCCCATTTTACAAGCCAATAATTTATTCCGTCATTCACGGCTAAAATATTTTCATATTTTTTTATTTAAAAAAAAATTCCTTTTATGTGGTGTAATAACAAATGTAGGTTCCTCATGTTGTGATCACATATATAGAGAGAACAAATTCCGCCAACTAACACAAAGCATTCTAATTTAGTGGAAAAATATGCTAAAATATTAAACAATATCATGAAATATTCTAATTTGAGACATGAAATATTTTAAAATTGTTTTTGAAATGCATTTAGTTTTCAATAGATCTTTACAGTTCAACACATTCCCACCAATGCAAATTTTCATTTTCAGAATAACTAACTTGTCAAAGAACATAATATAAAAACTACACTAATCTTGAGTATAGGGATAAAATTTACAAATCTGATTCGGACATTGTTTAATTGATTACTACATTGTTTGATGTTCGTCTTAGTCGGGTGATCCACCGTTGCATTCTTATCACCAAGGCGGTCGTATGCGGCAATTTTTCAATGTAATTAGAGTCTATTATTCTGCTCAATTTTTTTTTGCCTAAAACATTTTAGGTTGTTCTCTTCTCACACTCTTCCTATGTCCATCTCAGTTCGTCATATTTGTTTTATTGAGGCGCTCATACCCATAAAATTTAGTATGACACTTGTTACTTGTGCGACATTTGTTACACTATTTGAATGGTCCACTATTTGACCGTCTTGTCGAGTTTATCGTACCAATAAAATTTCATTGAAATTGCAATTCAATTTGTCAACTTAACTTTTAATTCAGAATAATTTGAATTGTTCTTTATTCGACTTAATCTATCTAGCACTTTCTGACGTTCATTTCAGTCGATAGATCACCCGCTAGATTCATCTCGTTCAGATACTCATAACTACAAAATTTTCAAGAGAAAATTACTCCCCTTATTCTTGATTTATTAAATAATATTAATAATATGATATTTACATCTTTTAATCACAATTACGAACTATGTATTTACCTAAGGAAAATTATAGATAAGGAGGGTTATTTTTTTTTTTTCAGCAGCTTTTTAAAAGTTATAACCACTCAATGTACACAATTAATTGTGGTTATCTCATTCCATGATAATCGGGAGGAGAGATATTCTCTTTCCTTGCACACACAACACTAAAGCAATAAACAACTATTGATTTTCTCTCTCACACCCTCGGTTATCGTGTAACATATTTACCAAAAATATTGCAAGAACTTATATTCCTAAGCACAAAAGAAAAGGGTGCTACTATTTACCACATGTCTTTTACTAAATACAGTCCCCAGAAATGACGATTTTGCCCTTTCAATAAAAAATAAATAAAAATTAATTTATAACTAAAAAAAATGAAAAAATAACATAAAAACCAAAAAACTTGTACATATACATAACTTCCCCAAAATTTTCATAAAACTATACATCTCAGTGGAAAAAAAAAAAAAAAATCTGAAAAAAAATAAATCAAAAATTCTGAAAAAAAATTAAAATAAATCCAAAAAAATTTGAAAAAAAAAACTGAAAAAATAAAAAAAAATGGCGGGAATTTTTTTTACAAATCGAGAAAGGGCTCTCCAAATCACAAGTAATTTTATTTTTTATTTTTACAATTTTAACGAATTAAAAAAAAAAATCTGGCTGCCGGCCGGCCGGTGAATGCGGCCGCAGTGATTGCGGCCCGATATTGTTGGGACGACCGTTTATTGCGGCCTACTCCCTTTAGGCTACGGGTTGGATTGCTCGTGTGTCCACGGGACAAATCCTATTTGAAATGGATGGTGTGAGTTTGTCAAATGCTCGACAAGCCGCTACATTAGCGGCGCATAAACTATGTTCGTCAACCAAGTTTGTTCAGTGGTCGTAAGCTAATTAGTTAGTGGGGGGGCCAGGATGAAAAAGAATTAGGCGAAGTCTTTCTGAACGACGGAGCATTCTAAGGGTGCGGCCGGTCCCCCATACGGCCGCTATTAGCGGCCGTCCTGTCTGTTCTGGGCCGAGCGCGGCCGAGAATAATTTTTTTTGTTTTTTTTAATTAAAAATGTTTTTAAAAGCAATTAAAAAATTGAATAATAAATTTATTTTAATATTTTGTAATAGTACTTAAATATGAATATTCAATAATAAAATTTAATA